TATTAGATTTTTATCCTGCGGTTATCACTATATAAATAACTCAAGATAGCCAACATATCTAATACTTCTTCTCTTTTTCTGTTCCCCACGACAACAATCTTGTGAGATGGGTTGGGCACAGAGAAAGTGACTGGCCCAAGATTATCCAGCTGGCTTTCATGCCTAAAGTGGGATTAGAATGCACAATTTCCTGGTTTCTTGGCCATCAGTTTAACTATTACACAAGACTGGTTCTTTTTTTTTAAAAAAAAAAATATTTTCCATTTATTCATACAAGATACAATTCACAAGATAAAATAAATTCATAACCATTGGTACCACCTGCCCATTCCCCCCAGGCTGCGTCCACCCTCTCTGGTACCTTCCCTACTTCCCTCCTCTTTCTCTCCTCCCCTCCTACTCTCTTCCCCTCCCCTTCTCCTCTTACCATCCTACTTCCTCCCTGCACCTTCCTCCCCTCTCATCCCTCTCAAACACATGAACGCAGCATAGGGGAAATGCCCAAGCAGCACATCTCTCGTAAACTACCATATCTATATAATCCTTACCCACCCACTCACCTCCCCACCCACCCTCAACCCTCCCCCCCTCACTTCCCAGAGCAGAGTACAGGGTTATTAATGAGAAAGTTAACAATAAAAAAAAGGAAAAGAAAAAAGGAAAGAAAAGAAAAATATCATACTTAACCTTTAACTCCCCTTAAATTACATCATCATAAACAAATCCCTACAACATTTGCTGTAAAATTTACTCATAAAATAAATGAAACTTTGTAGTCCCATACTTTTTCTGAATATAATCTATCCATCTTCTCCATACAATATATATCTTTCTTGTGTATGATCCTTCAAATAAGCAGAAATTTTTGCCATTTCTGCAAAATTAGAAACTTTAAATATCCATTCTTCTAAAGTAGGCATCGAATCTTTCTTCCAACATAAGGTTACTAGTAACCTTGCTGCAGTTAATAAATTCAACATTAAAATAGTTTCTTTGTCACTTAAGTCCACAAAAATACCCAATAAGAATAATTGAGGAGTAAACTTTATTTTCCTTTTAAAAATCTTTTGAATGTTCCACCAAATCATAATCCAAAAAGCCTTTACCTTTTTACAATTCCACCAAACGTGAAAATATGTCGCATCCATATTACCACATCTCCAACATTTGGGTTCTAAATTTGAATACATACAAGATAGTTTTTTAGGATCTAGATGCCATCTGTAAAACATTTTATAAAAATTTTCCCTCAAATTTTGAGCTTGTGTAAATTTAACATTTCTAATCCAAATTATCTCCCATAAGTCCAATGGGATCGGTTCCTGGATATTCTGAGCCCATTTAATCATACAATCTTTGACCAATTCTGTTTCCGAGTCTAATTCTATTAAAGCATTATAAATTCTTTTTATATGGGCCTGACTCTGATCTTTAATCTGAATAACCAAATTTTCATCTTCTAAGGTTATTCCCTCTTTCTTATCTATAGTCCACCTGTCCACTATTTGTAAATATTGAAACCATGACTGTAGAATATTTTCTTGCCTTAATACATCTAGGGATTTTAAATGCCAGTCCTAACCTGACCAAACTAATAATTCTTTATACGAAATTTTGTCAAAGTTCATCCCCTTAGAAATTCCCTCGATTGCATGTCTAGGAATCCCCCAGATAGGTATTTTATAATTTAACCTATGATAATACTTTTTCCAAACTCGAAGTAAGGCACTCCTCAAAATGTGTGATTTAAAAGCCCAGTCCACTTTCTTATTAAAAATTAAATATGCATGCCAACCATACATTAAATCCCACCCTTCAAGAACAAGAATATCCTTGTTTGTTAAATTAAGCCAATCACTTATCCAAGTTAAAGCTGCTGCATCATAATATAATTTCAAATTAGATGCTTTAAGTCCTCCTCTTTCTCGGGCATCTTGCAAAATCTTAAACTTAACCCTTGTTTTTTTCCCAGCCCAAATGAATTTATTGATACCCTTCTGCCATTCCTCCAAATTTACATCTTTTTTTAAAATAGGTATCATCTGAAACAAGAAAAGAAACTTTGGTAGAACATTCATTTTTACGGTTGAAATTCTCCCCAACAGTGACAATTGCAGTTTTTTCCAATCATTTAAATCCTTTTGTATTTTTGCCCATAATAATTCATAATTATTCTTATACAATTTTCCATTTGAAGCAGTTAAATATACTCCCAGGTATTTAACCTTTTTCACCATCTGAAAACCTGTAGCTTTAACCAAACTTTCCTTATCATTAACTGACATATTCTTAGGTAATATCTTAGTCTTATGATTATTGACTTTAAAAGCAGAAACTTTCCCATACTGTGTTATAAGTTCTAATAGACAATCAACCGCTCGAGTCGGTTGTTCCAAAATTAAAACCAAATCATCCACAAAAGCCTGTAATTTATACTCATTCTTTCTTATCTTTATACTCTTGATTACTGTTGATTCTCGAATCTGGATCAACAAAATCTCCAATGTTAAAACAAATAACAATAGGGATAATGGACATCCTTGTCTTGTCCCTTTTTCAATATTAAAAGTCTCAGTCAGTCCCCCATTAACAACAATTTGAGCATATTCTTGCTGATATATAGCTTTAAGTGCATGTAAAAACTGATCCCCAAAATTCATTTTCTCTACCAGTGAGAATAAAAATTTCCAATCTAATTTGTCAAAAGCTTTTTCAGCATCCAAAAATATAAAAGCCACATGAATCTGATTGTTCTTATCCAGATACTCAATTAAGTTAATAATTTGTCTTACATTATATTTCATATATTGCCCTGTTATGAATCCTGATTGATCACTGTGAATCAGATCCTTCATAACCTGCATTAATCTATTTGCCAAAATTTTAGTAAAAATCTTATAATCTACATTTAATAATGATATTGGCCTGTAATTCTTAGGCTCTGTAAGATCTTGATCCTCCTTCGGAATCAATGATATAAACGCTCTTTTCCAAGAAGGAGGAACTTGTTCTCCCAGCAAAATACTATTAAAAAGCTCCTTTAATGGCTCCAGCATTTCTTCAGATAAATTTTTATAATACGTTGATGTCAATCCATCTGTTCCTGGAGACTTTCCCACCTTTAACTGCTTAATAGCTAAACCAATTTCCTCCACAGTAATTAAACAATTCATCCCATTTTGCTGTTCCTCAGAAAGTTTAGGAAAATGTACTGATTGTAAATATTTATCTATATCCATTCCCTTTATGTTGTCACTTGAGTATAATTTTGTATAAAAATCTAAAAAACTCTTTTAAATCAAACTTTGCTGAAAAACCTCGGTACCTTTATATTTTACTTTCTCTATAATCCTAGCCTTCTGTTTCTTTCGTAACTGATAAGCCAACCACCTCCCAGGCTTATTCCCATTACAAAAAGTATTATGTCTCATATAACGCAGATTGGTAGCCACCTGATCTGCCATCAACATATTAAATTGTTCCCTAAGCATCTTTATAGAAACAAGACTGGTTCTTGAATATAATATTAATATAATCAAATATTGATTTCAGTCTGTTCCAAATCCTGTTGTTGTTTGTTTCTTCCCTTTTTTCTAATGCGTTAGATTAGAACATGCACTGAGGGATGAGAAACTTTATCATGTAGACAATTGCTACAGAAACTCAACAGCTGCCAAGTCATAACAACAACAACAATAATAATGCTGATTCCTACAGACTGGGTGTCTTACCTTACAAATATAAAACAACAAAAGCAGTTAAGAACATACTACTCCACTAGCAGTTTGGATTAAAATAATCATAACAATAAGAAACTTAACAGAGGTTCCACAAACTCATCAACCCCAGGCCTGGGACCAAAGCTTTAACTCCTTTTTGGAACCGCAGGAGAGAGGCTGTTTTTATATATCTCGGGGGGGAGGGAGGATGCTGTTTCAGTGGGCAGAAGCTGCAGTAGAGAAGGCATAACTCCTCAGTCCCATAAGATGGCAATATTTAATGAACCTGGAACATACCCACTATGCCAGAATAGCACAGTTAATGAGCACCCAGGCCTTGACACACAACTGGATTGTCTGGGCAGGGGGCAGATTTGACAGGCAGTGATAGATCTGTGAAAAGCTATCCAGATTGGCAAGTGGGCAAGTTTTCTTCAGGAAACAGTTCCCATACCTTTTTGAAACTCCAGAAACAGTCTGCACAGAATTTGAGTCATTTAAAAGAATATCTTTAATAAATATTTATTAAAAGAGAGAGGATTTGGATTAGTTCTTCTGTTTCAGGTTTGTTCTTATAGCAAGATATTCTTAATTACTGACATTTCAGGGGGGGTTGCATTTCTTTCCTTCAAGTTAATGATTAGCTAGTAATACAGTTTGCATTGAAGTTCTGATTTTTTTGTTCCACAGTTAACCTGCTAGTGAATCTGGATATACCTCATTAGAAAATGTAACATGTTTTTTTAAAGATTATCTCCAACCACAAAACATTTATTATCAGCCTATAATTTTGCCAGATTTCAATATTTTATAATTACTCTTTCCCTTTTAAATTATATCTATTTTAGTTTTAGCTATTACCTAGTCAAATTCAGATAATTAAAAACCTTGCAAGCAAAATGACAGCTAGCAGATTTCAGCTCCAGACATCCAGTTGACTACAAGATAGGAATAAAGAATTAGAATTGTTCAGCTTCAAACTAAAACTGATTTTGATTTTATTATTTTATATATACAGTATATTTCATTGTTTATAATCAGTTTGTGTGTACACAAGCTGAGTATAGTATATAATCTACTGTTTCTTCTGTTCTTTACATAGTATCACTTTGAATGATTTGGGATTTTTCAGTTCTGACCTTGATTGCATTAGTTTGACTAGCTTGCTCTTGAGCAGCCAAAATATAATACTGATTAAAATAAAACATTAGCACTCATTAAACTTAGAATTTCTCTATACAGACCTGTTGTGTTTGTAAACTATTAGTGATTTATTTGCAGGGGATTTCCAAAAAAGTCAGGCAGAACTGCCAGGATTGCATCTGATGAAGAAATTCAGGGCACAAAAGATGCTGTTATCCAGGACCTGGAAAGAAAACTTCGCTTCAAGGAAGATCTCTTGAACAACGGCCAACCAGTATGTAGCTTGCAGCAATATTCTAAACAGTTTTCTTACTTTATGTACATTTGGAGAGAATTTAACTTTGCATTCATGTGGATTTCAATTTTATATGGTACTGTATTCTATTATAGTAGGAGAAGGAGGCAGATTTTCAAATAACAGAACTGAGCTGCAAGATCCAAATTGAAATATTCTCTATTGTGATTTTTCATCATGCACTGAGATTGAGTAAGATATATGGGGCCCCAATCCTTATTTTGTACTTGGAAGTTTCCTTCACTTGTGTAATGGAATCTTTCCTTCCAACTTTAAAATTACTAGATCTGGTAAATGTTGCCTCTGATTGGTCTATTTATGGTTTCTTTGAATACAGTATGGCTCTGGTCTGTCTTTTTATATTGTCCCAAGATTCTTACATTATATTTATCATTTTTTATTTAATCAATTTATATTACATTATTACTTTTCAGCATAAAGATGTAGGCTACTAAGGAAATTTACTTTTGCAATTAGCAGAGTAAGTGGGAAAAAGTTTAATGAATACCAAGGAACATTTAAGTTTCAGGCCTGTTCCTACTTTCTTAAAAGTGAAAGATTACTTCATGGGCTTTCAACAAAAAGGCAATAAATATGTTTAACACCTATGGAGGCTGCAGGAGTCAGGCATGCCAATTGTGTAAGTAAATTATATAGCCACGACATGGCTGGAATCCCTGCATGATTCACAGGTAAGTACTATTGAGTGAGTTTCTAGAATTACTTCCAGCAATTAGAATTTCATGTTCTAAATTATAGCTGTAAATGTTGACTATAGTTAATTGATCATCTGAAAAATTGATGATTTGATGAGTATGAAATACTCATACTTGTTTTAATTTATATCTTATATTTTCAAAGTTCTATAAAGGGAAAATAAAACTTATGCTTCTTCCTGTCCCATATTCTTCTTTTGGTGTCAATGCTTTTGCAAAATTTAGACTTTGTCAGTAAAAATCTCTAAACAAGGGAATTGTTTCTATGGTATACTTGCATTAATGCACATACTATATAAAGAAATATAGAATTATTATACTGGAGTTTTATATTTTGTCAGGATAATTAATAGCTAAACAGCTTATATAAAGATGGAATATGGACGATGCAATGATAGGATGATGCAATATTAGGAATGACTCAGCAGAGTCTGTGTCTGTGCCTTTAAGGGCTGAGTATTAAAGGGGAGTTTTTACTGAAGTTTTTTCCTCTCTCATCCGTTTGACTGCTGTGATTGCTGTGTGTTGGAGTTTGCTGTTTCACCACATGCATGTATTTTGTTTCTAGTATATTGTAGATATTGTAATATAAACCACCATTTAATTACAAACCATTGTTTACTGTATTTACTCCTGGGTTACCTCAACTCAATAAGACTGCATGCTCTGACAGTTATGGGCCCAGAGTGAGGAGAAACCCAGTGAGAGTTTGACCTAGAGCAAGAGGAGTTGAGGCTTGTGGTTTGTTGTGGTTTAAAGAAGCAGGCAACATGGCTTCCATCAGTGTAATATGAGGAGGTTTTGCAGTATCTCATTTGAATAAGACAAACTATCTCTCCTGGAGGCTGAAAATGGAGATGTACCTGTGAAGGGAGGAATTGTGGATGATAGTTGCTGATCCATCTGCAGCCCTGGATGATGGGGATCAGAAAAAGAATGAGAAAGCATTGGCCAACATAATCCTGAGTTTGGAGGATAGCCAGCTGATACACGTGAGGGGTCTTCAGTCTGCTAAGGAGTGCTGGGAAGCTTTGTGCAGTGTGTACTTGAGAGAGACTGTGAGCAGCAACATTATACTGACAAGAAAGCTATATAAAGCATAGCTGAAGCCAGAAGAGAGCATGTGTACGCATTTGCAGTCCATGAGGAGGACATTCCTAGAATTAGAGGAAAGAGGAATGACTTTCACTGAGTCACATAAGGTGTATGTGGGGCTCAGTTCATTGGACAATTCATGGGACGTCCTGGTGACCAGTTTAGAGTCCATGCAGGAGAAGGACCTAACCATGAGTTATTTGACTGGCCGGTTGCTGGAGGAGGAACAAAAATGACTGGAAAGGCAGCAGAGAGGGGGTGATGACAATGTATAGCCCAAGCCTAGAGCTGTTACGTCCCAAGGTGCCGGCAGAGCGGCTGAGAAAGTTTGCATGGTGAAATACTGCTTCAGTGCTGCCCTGAGAGGAGAAACAGAGGAGCAGCGAGACAACTGACATTTTCCTTGGCAGTGACATTAAATGAGAAAAACACTTGGCTATTGGACAGTGGGGTCATTCAGCATATTACAAATGACCCACAAATGTTTTCCAACTTGAGACTAGTTAAGCAATCATTTGTTAGCTTGGCTAATGGACAACAGTCTGCTGTTAAAGGGGAAGGTAAAATTTATGTACCTGGTATAGGAGAAATGGATAATGACATGTTTTTATTTTGAACAATAGCAATAGCACTTAGAGTTATATACCACTTCACAGTGCATTAGAGCCCTCTCTAGGCAGTTTACATAGTCAGCATATTGCCCCCAACAATCAGGGTCCTCATTTTACCCACCTCAGAAGGAGGGAAAGCTGAGTCAGCCTTGAGCCGGTGAGACTTGAACTGCTGAACTGCTGGCAGACGGTAGTCAGCAGAATTAACCTGTAATACTGTGCTCTAACCACTGCGCCACCACAGCTCTTTATTTTGTAGCGAGGAGGCAGAATACAAATCTCTTCAATATATATATAAACTATAAATATATAAAGCAAATATAAAGCAACAAAATAAGACTTCATTGCAGGGTCTGGAACAATACAATTTGTTCAGATCTGCGGATTACAACTGTCATGATTCTAAACCGGCATAGACAAAGCCTGCAATACAGCCTGCCCCAACTTGTAATCCTCTAGATGTCTTGAATTTCCAGGCAGAATGGCCAAAGCCAGCCCCGGATATTGCCAGGTTAAAGAAGGTTGTTATAACAAATCAGCTTCTTTGTCTAAGCTTAGACAGGTTTGATAGGTTTCATTCCTCAGACAGAGAACCCTTCTCTAGCAAAAGGAGCTTGTGGAGTCTGTGAATTGCCAACATGGGTTTTAATTGTACAGATAGCTCTGGAGTCATTGAATGGGCACTGATTTGGTGTAAATGGATTTACTATTTTCTCTGGGCTATAAGAATAAACTCTGCCTCCTATCTTTATTCCAGAAAAAAACCTGGCAGATTTCCAAGAAACATTGTATAAACATGGCAGCTCTAGAATCTCCTTTTTGTCCCCAGATCTCTATTGTAACTGGTAAAAATTGATGGCACTGTTTCCAGCTATTTGAAACTCACGAAACTCATGAAACTCACAAAAACTGTATTGGAAGTCCAAAAATAACAACAGCTCCCCCCCCCTTCAAAGAAGTTATGGAGATGCTAGTCCCATGCCATTTATAATTTTATCCCACCCACTTTATATCATCATTCTGCCTATTATGACCTTTGGCAACCTCCAAAAATATTGACTGGCTCATGACTAGTAAAATTTTGTCTACCTCTGATAGAAATGTTTAATTACTTTGAAGTATGAGTTGAAATTTGGAGAACATTGTTCATGTATTTATTGGTAGAAGATGCAAATGTCTCATTCTTCTGATTTAGAAGTTAACGTATGAGGAAAAGATGGCTCGTCGATTGTTGGGGGCTGACAATGCTGCAACAGTCTTCAGTATTCAAGAACCAGAAGAGGAACTTGCAGAACAGGTACTGCAATTTATCTTTCTACTCACAAAATAAAATAGCAATTTTCTTGTTAAAATAGGTTTTTTTTTATGAGTGATGACAACATTGCCTGCTTTTGAACATAATTTTTAATCCAGGTAGGTTGATAAACTTTTTTACGGTCTTTGACCAGCATGTAATCTGGTATTATTAAACAATGACCCGAACAAGCTAATCTAAGGTGGTTCATGTAAAAAAACCCTAAACCATAACAGTTAAATTCACACATCAATTAACACCCTCTTCATATTATTGCTTAATTATGCAGGCCAATGTTTGTTTTCTTAAAGAGATTCATACTGACATTGTATATTTATAGGCCAGCTTCATATTTCTTTTCCGCCAAGCCTAGCTACCTAAATGAAGTTGAATTGCAAGAAATTTTGGATTCCGTCTAAATGAATTCAGTCTTCAGAATTTAATCCTTTGATCAAAGTTATTTGGTGTACCAGTTATAGGTAAATTTCACAGTATCATGATATCAAATCTACACACATTTTTTGTGTGTATGGGCTTTATTATACCTTGATTCTGCTTTTTAATAACACTACAGCCTTAGAGAGGGAAACATTGGCCTAGTTATGCTTATAGCTAAATGTTGAATGCCCAATAGGTCTTCAGTAAGTGATGTGCTATAACCCACCCAAACTGAGTTTGTGTAGATTGAAATATGTTGTCCAAAACAGAAACAGGCTCTTTTTGATGAAAATTATCCTAAGAACATAGTTGTGTCTTCTTTTATATTTGCTTATGCCTATGTTTTGCATCTTGTTTTGATCAAATAAAGAGTGCATCCTGAATTTGGAAAACATATTTAATGAAACATGGATAGCTATACTTGAAGCTGTGCCAAATCACAAAACAATCAACAATAAAACCATAAATTTGATTAAAATGCTATATTAACTTGCCCTGTGTTTTTTGTCATGACAACCAAATGGTATATTAATGTAAGAGTTTTGAAATAAAGAATTGCTAATAATCATGTTTTTTTAGTACTGTATGATGCTTTTCACGTCTGCAAGTTCCTCTTTCTACCATTGGCCTGAAGATGAACTGTCCATATGTCAGAGACTAGGGAATGAACAAGGGATACTATTATATTAGATATAAATTGGCCATCTTCAGTTACTAATGGCCTTTTTTATGGGTAGACAGTCAACATTCCTTGTGTTGGATTCAGGTCTTCAAAGTGCACTGAAAGATTCCACATTTGCTCCGAGGCTATCCTTTCATGATTTGTCTACATGGGAAGGAATATCTTAGGTCCTTTCTGTGGCATTTTTCTAAAAAGACAGTAAGTGTTTTAGTTGTATAGTAGGTAGATGTAAATAGCCATAAAGTATGAAGTAATGGAGGAAATGTGGATGTAGGTTAATTTGAAGCAGAAATGGAAGGTTTTATGGGGAAGCCAGATTGTTTTGCTGTTGGAATTGTTGCAGGCCAAGACATTTATAACTGCATAGCCAAATATTTGATTATTTTTACAACTAGAAAAATATGGAATCTGCATTTGGCTTGAACAGAAAATAAAATCAAGATGATTTTGTTCAAACTCTTGCATGATTGCAGGCAATTGTAATGCAGAATATAGTGCTTCTTTAGCTGATCACATGAAATAACAATTTTAAGTTTTCTTTCAATTTTCATTTCTTTTCTCCTGCTTTTTCATTCCATTTCAACATCAAATATAGTCTGCATATCGAGACAACTTTTTTTAGTACAGAAGAGCAAGAAACATTTCTACACTTTAATGAAATGAGTGGCCACCATCATTTATAATCAATCCTGGGGAACAATTTGTCTGAGATTATTGCAAAGTTCTCTTACAGTTCTTTTAGTGTCCATATTTTTTCTGCTTTTACAGGGAACTGATTCTGTTGATGCTTCTATAGTGACTCATGAGGCTGTGCAAAAGGTTCCACTTTCCTTTTTTCTTGCTTTACTGTCTGTTGACCTCTTGCTACTTCCTCTTTTGACATTGCAATGCTGTTTGCAGAATTTAATATTTGCTTCCTTTCCTTTGCATAATTCACTAACACTGAGATTTAAAGCTACTCTTTACTATGTAGTAAACACGTCCACTTCAGATCATTTTTAGGGAGTACGGTTCTCTAAATCCCATAAACAGAATGGGATTCCATTCAAAATATGTTCAATATTTAAAATGATCAAATGGATCATTTTGCATTCTACTTAAATGTAATCTAAGGAGTTATTTCAATATTTCCAGTCCTTAAAACAGAAACATTGTGATCTAACTCATATATCCTATTATATATGTCCATTGCTCAACTAATATATTCATTTTGTTTTGCTTCACAGAATATTATTTAAAATGTGCAGACCTGTATATCTACATTTTTAAATAAAACCTGGAAAATTGAAATAATTATAATCTCATTAAATAACCTGCCTGATAAAATGACCTTAAAGACCTAATTAACTTGAGTTTTCTGTTATTTATAGGAATACAAAGTCTCCAGTTTTGAGCAGAGACTGATCAGTGAAATTGAATTTAGATTGGAGAGAACTCCAGTAGAAGAGTCTGATGATGAAGTGGAGCATGGGAAAGATATTCTTGATGGCAGCCTGGCCCCATATTTTGTGACAAAACTCAAACACTACAAAATATTTGAAGGAATGCCAGTCACTTTTATATGCAAAGTGTCTGGAAATCCAAACCCAAAGGTAAGGGAAAAAATGTTTTGGATAGTTCACACAAAACATCAAAGGAATCTTTCATAGAGATTCAGAAAAATGTATTCTTTGGGCTTTTCTAATTTCCTTAAAATGTGACAAATTCACACAAGTTTTGAATACATGGAATTTTTCAACTCATATCAAAACTGTTGTATAGTATAAACACCATAAATGATGGGAATGTTGTATTCCAGTCTATATGCTTTCAGGTTTTTCTTAAGTGTTCAGTGAACTGGAAGGTCTAGTAGATCTTTGTGGATGATCTTTGGAACTTTCCCAGCATATGGTTCTCAGTTCTGCTGGTTAGAACTAATAACCTAACGGGTATTTTTCTTAATAATAAACATGTAAACAATACAATGCTTCTGTTCTAGTCTACAACACACTTGACATGGCATCAGTTCAGACATGCTTTGTAACACATGTAGCAAAAGCAAACCAATTTAGTATTTTCCGAACTTCAATTCATGATCTCATTGGCTGAGACAGAACAGGAATTAAAAACCTGAGGCTTCCCTGATGGCTTGAAATATTAATGCCAACAGCCCAAAGCCAGCACAACTAATAAAGAAGCATGCCAAAGCTATAATTCAGCAATACATCATGTTTTTCCTAACAAGTTCATTGGTGCTTGTCCTCAAAGAGCAGCAAACCCTCCTCTATATGTTTATAGTCTTGGTATTTCTTAATCCCAGATAAGTGAATTTTATAAATTCTAGCATTCTTTTTGAGATGACATTTTGTTGGACTTAATGGAGCTAGAGTGGAGGGTAGACAGAGCTACCCATTCTAATAACTGCTTTGCCTCAATATGCCATTATTCTCTGCCACGTTTTCTCTCTCTGCCAAGCATCAGGATGCCAGTATAGATCCCACAGCTCTGAAGTGCACTGGACTGAATGCCTGGAAAAAGCTGCTGAAATTAGGAGTAGTGCTACGTGTTGCCATAGGGTTGTTGTGAGATCACAAGGCATTGCAATTTTATATAGGAATGCATCTCAGAATGTGTAACTGAACATCATTATATTTGAAATGCATGTTAAGCAACCCCACTATGCTTAATTTAACTTGTTTCCTGTAATTACTTTATTTTATTAGAAGCCTGAGGTTATACTGCAACATAGTGTTTTGGTACAGTAGTGCTCATAGTGATCTAGTGCAGTCTTTCTCAGCCTTGGCAATGTTAAGTCATGTGGACTTCAATTCCCAGAATTCCCCAGCCAGCTTTGCTAAGGAATTCTGGGAATTAAAGTCCACATGATTTAAAGTTGCCAAGGTTGAGAAACATTGATCTAGTGGATAGCATTTTTGCTTGTTGTTGCATTTTCCTCCCAGATTCTAAGATGTGAACAACCAGTACAAAACTTATTTCTCATAAATATGCATTCATGAAAGAACATGTATTTCGTGTTCTAAATGATACATGAATTCTAAGGGACTTTGGGGTCTTCTTTAGGAGTCTGAAAGGAGGAGAAATTTTTTCAGTACTGTGATATTTGAAATTATGTCATCTTTGTTATTATTGGTAAATTCCTAATTATAAAATGGAACATAAATGTATATATGTGTATATGTGTATTAGCTGATGTTTTTACTAGATATCAGTGAACAAAAGGATCCTTTCCATTAAGTCTGGCATTAAAATATATCTGAGGATAATATATGCAGAAGGAAACTGCCTTAAAGGTAAACTTCAAAATTTTGAGATTCTGACATTTAGTTTCCTGCATTTTATATTGATAATCTTTTTACTCCCCCAAATTTAAACTGCATGTGGTTGATTAAAAAAAAAAAGATGTTTAACTTGACAAAGGCAACATGCAGTCACATGAAATAATTGTAATTCCTAAAGGGAAAACATTTAACTACATATAGAATATTCTTGTGGGGCAAGAGGAAGGAATGATATATTAATTGCTTTATAACTGAATTAACAGTAAAATACCACATTCAGTCATGTTAATCTAGGACACCAGGCATAAACTCCTTTATGTATCTTAACTTGCTTAATTCTTGACAAATTTCCAGATTCTGTAATGAAAGAAGTGTATGATAAAATAATTACTAGCTCTTACAAGACCAACATTTATGAGGTAATACTAGGAAATCTGCGTAGTGTGGAAGTTCAAACTTATTTTTGCTGCTAAGCCTTTGCTAAGATTAGGCTTTACAAACAATAGCACAACTTTTTATTTGAAACATAAAAACTGTCATCACATTGCTGTATTAAGCCTTGTTGGCAGTGTCAGTATTTTGCAATCCAGCACATAAAATTAGTAAGAGACGAACCAGAAAAACATTATCTTTGCAGTAACTCAGTTCTTGTCAGTATCTGGTAACCTTATATGGAAGTGTGAAACTTGGTCTGTATTCCTCCTTTACTAGGTATTGTTAAAATTTAATGATAGCTTTATGCCATGCATTGAAATAAATAGCTGGTGGTCAACCATCAGAAAAATGAAGAACTTGTTGTAGCATATAACAGTTTAGGATCATTCTGCTTTTTATTTTTCCTTGGAAATGAAAATGATACAATGATGCTGCTTTCAAAGTGATTGACTGCATTAAAACTGTTTGCAGTTGTCATGAAAATTGGCAGTCTCTTAATCATTCCTCCTGTGCCAGTTCTTCAAAAGGCTTTTGATGGCAACTTTCATTCAAGTCCCCCCAAATTAAGGATCTTCCTGTGAGTTTTTCCTGCATTATCGCTTTGTCTACCAGCATCTGACACAGCCAGTGATGAGGATACCCTCATTTATTCATTCAGAGAAAGAATTAATGGTGTAGGTAATCACCAGGTCAGTTCAGTTTCTACAACTGGGGACCACAGATATCTGGAACAATAGAAAACTTTATTTTGGTTCCTAATACCTATGATAAATAACCCAGTACTGAACGTACAGATAGTTCTCAACTTATAACATTTAGTGACAGTTCAAAGTTACAATGGCACTGAAAAAAGTGACCTAAGAAAAAAACCTGGGTGACAATATCTGGTAGAGAAACCATGGTAGAGTAGGATAATAAAAAAAACTTTCATTAATTGTTCAAGCCTAAATATTTATTGACTGGTATGATTTCTGATTGAAGCTTAATTGGACATTATGTTGGTGGCATGACTAGCAGTATAATGTATACCGTATATGCCGGTGTATTAGGCGACCCGGCGTATAAGACGACCCCCGAGTTCGATGCCGGGTCGCAAGACGATCGACGCCGAGTCGCATATAAGACGACTTTCTAGGCATGCGACTCGGCGTCGATCATCTTATACGCCGGAAATGACGTCATTTCCGTCGTATAAGATGACTTTCTAGGCATGCGACTCGGTGTCGATCATCTTATACGCCGGAAATAACGTCATTTCCGGCGTATAAGATGATCGACACCGAGTCGCATGCCTAGAAAGTCATCTTATATGCCGGAAATAAACGTAGTTTATAACGTTATTTCCGGCGTATAAGATGACTTTCTAGGCATGCGACTCGGTGTCGATCATCTTATACGCCGGAAATGACGTAATTTCCAGCATATAAGATGATCAACACCGAGTCGCATGCCTAGAACGTCATCTTATACGCCGGAAATAATAAATAAATAAATAAACGTTATGACTCGGCGTATAAGACGACCCCCGAGTTCGGAGGCTGTTTCATCGCTCTCAAAAGTCGTCTTATACGCCGGAATATACGGTAAATGTTATGAGAAAAAATGTACATAGAAAAAGTATCAATATTTACTTTTTGGGCAATGATGAGAGAAAGTGGAAATTGTAATGCAGTAGTAACAAGAGAACTAATTTCTCCACCATCTTATACCATCTCAATCTGGAATTTTACTTCAAACACGAATACATACACCACTCGTTGTTAATCCAATGAAGTGAAATAGCTGTTTATTTTTCAGTAATTTGTCCTAAGTCTGCAACAGAAGGAAAGACAAGAATTTATTCTAGATCCTTTTTATTTATTTATTTTCTGAGATCAGCATTTGTGTTTTGGGTTTTATTTCTCTCAATATACAGTGGGGCAAAAAAGTATTTAGTCAGCCACCAATTGTGCAAGTTCTCCCACTTAAAAAGATGAGAGAGGCCTGTAATTGTCATCATAGGTAGACCTCAACTATGAGTGACAAAATGAGAAAACAAATCCAGACAATCACATTGTCTGATTTGGAAAGAATTTATTTGCAAATTATGGTGGAAAATAAGTATTTGGTCAATATCAAAAGTTCATCTCAATACTTCGTTATATATCCTTTGTTGGCAATGACAGAGGTCAAACGTTTTCTGTAAGTCTTCACAAGGTTGGCACACACTGTTGCTGGTATGTTGGCCCATTCCTCCATGCCCACCACTCTAGAGCAGTGATGTTTTGGGGCTGTCGCTGGGCAACACGGACTTTCAACTCCCTCCAAAAGTTTTCTATGGGGTTGAGATCTGGAGACTGGCTAGGCCACTCCAGGACCTTGAAATGCTTCTTACGAAGCCACTCCTTCGTTGCCCGGGCGGTATGTTTGGGATCATTGTCATGCTGAAAGATCCAGCCATGTTTCATCTTCAGTGCCCTTGCTGATGGAAGGAGGTTTGCACTCAAAATCTCACAAAACATGGCCCCATTCATTCTTTCCTGTACATGGATCAGTCGTCCTGGTCCCTTTGCAGAGAAACAGCCCCAAAGCATGATGTTGCCACCCCCATGCTTCACAGTAGGTATGGTGTTCTTTGGATGCAACTCAGCATTCTCTCTCCTCCAAACACGATGAGTTGTGTTTCTACCAAACAGTTCTACTTTGGTTTCATCTGACCATAGGACATTCTCCCAATCCTCTTCTGGATCATCCAAATGCTCTCTAGCAAACTTCAGACGGGCCTGGACATGTACTGGCTTAAGCAGGGGGACACGTCTGGCACTGCAGGATCTGAGTCCCTGGCGGCGTAGTGTGTTACTGATGGTTGTCCTTGTTACGTTGGTCCCAGCTCTCTGCAGGTCATTCACTAGGTCCCCCCATGTGGTTCTGGGATTTTTGCTCACTGTTCTTGTGATCATGTTGACCCCACGGGGTGAGATCTTGCGTGGAGCCCCAGATTGAGGGAGATTATCAGTGGTCTTGTACGTCTTCCATTTTCTAATTATTGCTCCCACAGTTGATTTCTTCACACCAAGCTGCTTGCCTATTGCAGATTCAGTCTTCCCAGCCTGGTGCAGGTCTACAATTTTGTTTCTGGTGTCCTTCGACAGCTCTTTGGTCTTCACCATAGTGGAGTTTGGAGTGTGACTGTTTGAGGTTGTGGACAGGTGTCTTTTATACTGATAACAAGTTCAAACAGGTGCCATTAATACAGGTAATGAGTGGAGGACAGAGGAGCCTCTTAAAAAAGAAGCTACAGGTCTGTGAGAGCCAGAAATCTTGCTTGTTTGTAGGTAACCAAAATACTTATTTTCCACCATAATTTGCAAATAAATTCTTTCCAAATCAGACAATGTGATTGCTGGATTTGTTTTCTCATTTTGTCTCTCATAGTCGAGGTCTACCTATGATGACAATTACAGGCCTCTCTCATCTTTTTAAGTGGGAGAACTTGCACAATTGGTGGCTGACTAAATACTTTTTTTTGCCCCACTGTAGATCTATTGGTTCAAAGATGGAAAGCAAATCTCTAAAAGGAATGAGCACTACCGGATGCAAAGAGAACCTGATGGGACCTGCTCTCTCCATACCACTGCCTCTACCCTCGATGATGATGGGAATTATACTATAATGGCTGCCAATCCACAGGTAAGTCAAGCCTTAGCTGTAGAATCAGTATGCTCCTGGGCACAGATGTTTGTTTACATTCACAATCTGAACTAAATATTTAATTGAGAAATGATGTCATTTTAGGGCAAGTAATACTTAATCCTTCTCAACTCATCTCACACTCATAATGCCAAGTTGAGAATACAGAGCTATTGGGGAATGATTCAAAAATGTTTCTTTAAGCAATTGTCCTTATATAGATATTACTAGGTAAACAAGCTACATTTGCAGTCTGATGTGCCTCTGTGGTTGGGCTAACCACTGATCATTCAGTACACTTCTACTTCTGATTATGTCTGAGTAGAACTATATATTATGAGGAAAAACCAGATTCCTCCCCATCCCTAATGGCAGAGTTCATTTTATTCATATTCTCTCATAGTAAAACCTATCACATGTCCTTATGCCCTGGTGAGTCCTTTCTCTCCTCTCCCCTCTCCTCCCCTCCCCTCCCCTCACACAATATACCAACAGAAGAAGCACAATATACCAACAGCCAGTATGTGTTGGTCTTTGTTGAGCTGACTGTGGTGCAGACAACAGATTTCGTAATGTTTTACCAGCAACTGTTGCTGGCATCTTTGAAGGCAAGCAACTGAGCAGGAACTGACTGGGCTGTTTCTGTAGCTAGATATTCTGACTATAAAACTGCATGTTAGTATATAGATATGATCTATTTATCTATGTTAGAATTGTCTGTGTCATGCCATCTAGTGGTTATTTAGCTAAATTTTGGTACAGTAATTGCAAGAAAATCTAAGAGTGAGAAAAGGAACAATAGTTGCTATTCGGTAAATTTGGTCTGAGAGCTAAAATGAGGGAACAGATTAATTAGGTTGCAGCTATGATAGAAAAAGAATTTAATCGAGGCTGTCATACTCAAAGGTCAGGAGTTGTCATAGGTCATTGCTGCATATCCTGTGCTCTGTTTTGTAGTTAGACAGCTGTTTGTATTTCTAAGTTTCTGAGTATTCACTGACCACCTCCTTTCTTGTTGGGCTTGCAACAGTTCTTGTGAAAGATCTGATTACACTACAAACCCCAAAAAAATGTTTTTAATGCTTTGTAGAAGTCTGTAAGTAACAACCTAAAGGACTATTAGAAGACTTATTGTTAAAAGAAGGCTATTCAGTAAAACTGCTCTACATTTATATATTTTTTCTCTTTTTAATTTCAAATGCTAGGGGAGAATAAGCTGTACAGGACGATTGATGGTCCAAGCGGTCAATCAGAGAGGACGCTGCCCCCGGACACCTCCTAGCCAGCCTCATGTCAGAAGGTATTATAGTTAATTATGAACTTAGGAAAAGTTTATGGTTCTAATATTAATATAGGTAGTCCTTGACTTACGATCATAATTGAGTCCAAAATTTCTTCAGTTTTGCCCCACTTTACACTCTTCCTTGCCACATTTGTTAAGTGAATCAGTGCGGTGTTAAGTTAGTAACATGGTTGTTAAGTGAATCTCGCTTCCCCATTGACTTTGCTTGTCAGAGGGTCACAAAAGGTGATCAGATGACCCCAGGACATTGCAACTGTCATATATATGAGTCAATTGCCAAGCATCTGAATTTTGATCATGTGATTATAGTGATGTTGCAACAGTTGTAAGTGTGAAAAACAGTCATAAGTTACTTTTTTCAATGCCATTGAAACTTTGAATGATTACTAAATAAATTCTTTTAAGTTAAGGACTATTTGTATAAATATTTTTTATCATTATTACTTATTTAATAGTATTACTGACTGAGGACATACATAATTAGCTGGATCTCTGTACTTATCTGATGCTTTAAAAGTTGACTTTTCAAACTGAATCCATTTTTGGAGATGAAAAATTATACAAAATTTAGATTGCAGGAAAAATTCAGTGAGAAATATTGCATTACATAATTGAAAATTTGTTGAAACTGAACTGAGCTATGTAATGTTTTAGTTCTTACAATATTTTTAATATTTATATGAGATTGTTACTTTTAATAATTAAGCTTTTAATTGCACCGTCAATAAAAATAACAAGCAAAACAAATATTTAGGACTTTTAGTTAGCAATTTCTTTTCTCAGTCTGTCTCCTGGACTACTGTAATGCATTTTGTTATTCTGTTATTGATGTGAAGATGTTTAGAGTGCAGACCCAAAAAAGATGCAAAATCTCAACAAGGAATATACTGATAGTTGATTTGTAAATTATGAAGCAGCTCTTGGCAGATTGCAATTCATTAAATAAAGTATTATAGTTTTGCTTGTCTATCTATGAAGTAAATTAAATTGGAGTGGATAAAAATATCTTTTCATAATATGCTTGAACTTAGAAAGCAATTTGTGTTGCCTTTGCAACCATTTTTATAATGATATGGGAGTGAAATGCAGAGATGATTATTTGAGAAGGAGAAATGGAGAAGACTTGGAGATAAGTAACAGTAACCATGAACAGTTTTCATTAAAAGAGTTAACTAAATCTGCAGTAATATCTGTTTGAGCTACATCAGTGTGAGTACATTTGGAAATATACTAGGTTAATCTGGGGTGATTTACATATTATCTATAGACCACGGTCTCGATCAAGGGATAGCGGAGATGAAAATGAACCAATCCAGGAACGCTTCTTCCGACCACATTTCCTGCAGGCTCCAGGAGATTTGATAGTTCAAGAAGGAAAACTTTGTAGAATGGATTGCAAGGTACATTTAAAATTTTATTTTTAATATTGAATATATAGGTTACAGGTAGTCCTTGATTTATGACCACAACTGAAGCCAGAATTTCTGTTGCTAAGAAAAGGAGTTATTAGGGGAGTTGTTCCTGATTTTATGACCTTTTTGCTAACTTTTTTGTTAAGCAAATCACTGTAGTTGTTCACTGAATCACGTGGTCATTAAATGATTCTGGCTTCCTCCATTCCTCTGGGATGGTTGCAAATGGCAATCATGTGACCCCAGGATTCTGTGACCGTCCTAAATACATGGTCACCAAGCACACAAATTTTGGTCATATGACCATGAGACTGCTGCAACGCTGGTAAGTGTGAGGCCTAATCATAAATCCCTTTTTTCCAGTGCTGTTGTAACTTCAAATGATTGCTAAATGAATGGTTGTAGGTCAAGGACTACTTGTGTATTGAATGAATTTTATATGTGTATTATATTTTTACAAATATATGAAAATAATTTTACATAATAAGAAATTGAGCTACACTTAAGTAAACATTATATATGTATATTATCTTAAAAATCATTGTTGGAGTAACTTGTCATATTAGGTCTGTATGAAGAAGTTATCTGGTAGAAAAGCGATATAATGGAATATACTGTATCTGTACATAGAAGTGACAAAGACGGAAATTAACATTTTGTAAATATTAAATAAAACTCATTTTCCCTGTATATTCCTTTTAAGAAAGTTTTTAAATCTTCCAAAGGTAAAAACTAGTAAATTTCAATTGTATTTAGGTAACTCAGAATGTTATTGGAGTGCTATTAAAATGTTTCTCATAACATGGCTGCTAAAGCAACTTTGCCAAGCAGGAATTGTTATTAATGATATTTATCATTCAACAACTGAAATTTGATTCATAGGATTCTGAATATGGAGTTTAATTTCCTGAATAGTGTACAGTTGAAAATAATTTTTGTTCAATGAAATCTTTTCAACACATTCCTCCTTGAAGGTAACAATCAAGATATTATTAAATGTAAAATGATCACAAGACATAAAATCTTTTCTTTCTGTGCATTGTGGTATTTAATTTTGTTATAGAACCTCCATTCAAATAGAACTCGGTGATGATAATAATAATAATAATAATAATAATAATAATAATAGTAGTAGTAGTAGTAGTAGTAGTAGTAAAGTTGGAAGGGACCTTGGAGGTCATCTAGTCCAACCCCCTGCTCGGGCAGGAAACCCTACACCATTTCGGACAAATGGCTGTCCAGTCTCTTCTTAAAAACTTCAGTGTTGGAGCATTTACTGCTTCTGGAGGCAGGCTGTTCCACTGATTAATTGTTCTCACTGTCAGGAAGTTTCTCCTTAGTTCTAGGTTGCTTCTCTCCTTGATTAGTTTCCACCCGTTGCTTCTTGTCCTGCCTTCAGGTGCTTTGGAAAATAGCTTAATTCCCTCTTCTTTATGGCAGCCCCTGAGATATTGGAATACTGCTATCATGTCCCCCCTTGTCCTTCTCTTCGTTAAACTAGACATACCCAATTCTAGCAACCGTTCCTTATATGTTTTAGCCTCCAGTCCCCTAATCATCTTTGTTGCTCTTCTCTGTACTCTTTCTAGAGTCTCAAATCTTTTTTACATCGTGGTGACCAAAACTGGATGCAGTATTCCAAGTGTGGCCTTACCAAGGCATTGAAGAGTGGTATTAATCATGTGATCTTGATTCTATCCCTCTGTTAATGCAGCCTAGCACTGTGTTGGCCTTTTTGGCAGCTGCAGCACACTGCTGGCTCATATTTAGGTGATTGTCTACTAGGACTCCGAGGTCCCTCTCACAGTTACTACTATTGAGCATGGTGCCACCTATGCTGTACTTGTGCATTTGGTTTTTCTTGCCTAAATGTAGAACCTTGCTTTTTTCTCCATTGAATTTCATTTTGTTAGTTAGTGCCCAGTGTTTTATTTTAGGAATACTAAAATGTTTGCTCATGCAAGCATAAAGAGATGATGAACTTTTATCCATTTATGGTCTTCTGGCATAACAAAATACAGTGCACTGAAATAAATAGTCACAACCTTTCTATAGTCTTTATATACTTTTGATTTCCTGAGGACTGTGGTGTATTTTATTTAAGGTCAGTGGCTTGCCAACTCCCGACATCAACTGGCAACTTAATGGAAGAGTAATACGTTCTGATAATTCCCACAAAATGCTTGTACGGGAAAATGGTATACACTCCTTAATCATAGAGCCAGTCACAGCAAGGGATGCTGGCATTTATACATGTATTGCCACTAATCGAGCTGGCCAGAACACCTTCAGCCTGGAACTGATTGTGGCAGGTAGGACACTTGCATAATTTGAAAAAATGGATTTGAGTGCCTGAACGTAACTTATCAACTGTGGCTCCTTTCTCTATAATTCTTTTTAGCACACATTTTGCCATTTGACAAAAGTTTCCTGATTGTTTTTAAGCCTAATCAGCAATATTATGCTACCCATTCTCTTTGTACTTTGTAACAGTCCTGTAACAGGCTAGTATTAAAAACCCATATTATAGGAAATGGTAGATGAGTATCTTGAAGGTGCCTAAGGTGTATATTGGGATGTAATGACAGTTTATGAATGAGTTGCAGTCTGGCACATTGGAGCTACTGGTTGGAACCTCTTTTTATAAAGCAGTGTCATACAGGAAGCAAGAAGCAAGAAAATTAGCCTCACTCTTATAACTGAATAAATGTAGCTATCCAAGAGGGATGAATATAATCTATGCTGCCATCACTATTTTGGAACTACATAACAGATGTTTAGGAGATCTGGGTGGATTGTGTTCCAGCTGATGATTTGAATTCTTTACTGTATTATTCCAGTTGTAAGCAACAAATGATTTGTTTGAAATGCAAATACATTTGTTTATAGGGATCTTTAAAACTAGCTTTTATGTGAGTAGCATCCATATTGCTATGTGATTATGTAAATGATCCAATGGGAAGCATTTGAGTGATGCCCATCAATTTGGCACTTGGAGATAGTTGATCTCACTTTTATACAAAAAAGAGCCTTGAAGACGGCCATTGTCTGCAGTAGTTAGACTATCTACTATATTATGTGGCAGCCATTCATGTAAAACTAGCTCCAGAGTTAGAATATTTTAAAAGAAAGAAAGAAATCAATAGCTCTATATCCTGCAGAAGGTATGAAAAACTTTTCTTGGCCTGTGTGTCTACCTGTAGCTTTCTATTAGAAAGCATTTATGGATGAATTTTGATAAGAGAAAAAAAATCTCTGCTTTGTTTTTTTGATGAAATCCTGGCCATATTCAGGCATAACAGAAAGCTCAAATTGCTAAGAAGTCTAGCTCCTTGTTCCATGAGCAGAATAACAGAGTTGGAAGGGACCTTGGAGGTCTTCTAGTCCAACTCCTTGCTTCAGCAGGAAATCCTATACCATTTCAGACAAATGGTTGTCCAGTCTCTTCTTAAAATCTTCCAGTGTTGGAGCATTCACAACTTCTGGAGGCAGGTTGTTCCACTGATTAATTGTTCTAATAGTCAGGAAATTTCTCCTTAGTTCTAGGTTGCTTCTCTCCTTGATTAGTTTCTATCCATTGCTTCTTGTCCTGCCTTCAAGTGCTTTGGAGAATAGCTTGACTCCCTCTTCTTTGTGGCAACCCCAAACTGAATGAACCACTGTTTGATTTCCTTGTTAGTAGAAGTGCCATTTTTTTTTCAGAAATTAACAAGGAAGCTATAAGCCGTCTGTTATATCCCCACCGAGATATCTTATTGCCTCCCCAAAAGAATTAGAAAGCAAAATTTGAAGTTGATGGGGAAATGGGAAATTGGGGTCTGATTGTGAATATAATTAAAAGTTCTGACTTCTACATGAGCTTTTGTTTAATCACTCTCAGTGGGAAAACAGAACCAAGTTGAAATAATTGGATGGTGTGCTTCATTATAGGAGAATCATCAGCAGTTCTGGCAAAAGATTATGATTCTTCATAGCCATTTGGCTAGATCATGGGCCTTCACTTTTTTTCCTAATACAAGTGTGAACATTGCATCTTCCTCAGCCCATTAGACAGCAGCAAATAAAGTGATATTTTCATTTTCCAAATACTTCTCTCTGTGAGGTACCTCTAGTGCTAAGAAATATTAAGAGAACATACACAAAATATATACTAATATAAGGAGTGGGGGAATCTGTCTTTTCAGCTAAGGAAGCACACAAGCCACCTGTATTTATAGAAAAACTGCAGAATACAGGAGTGGCTGAGAGGTTTCCTGTGCGACTGGAATGCCGGGTTTCAGGTATGCCTCCACCTCAGATTTTCTGGAAGAAGGAAAATGAGTCACTCATATACAACACTGACAGAGTGAGGTTAGTTCCATATACTGTTTATTAACTGTGTCACTTGTCTATGTTGAACATTTAAAGGCTTGAGCTACTGTATACATATCTAATACATGAACAATTTGAGCCAATCATTCATTTACTGCCATTGCCTGGAATAAGTCATCTTATAGACAAACCAAGCGAGATCTAAGTAAATTATACACGTCTGTTAATTTTAAAATAACATTCAGACCCTAAGAAAGGCTTTATACAAAATAATTCATGTAGATAGGGATTATATGATAATACCCCAGAGTTTACATTTCCATATCAAATGAATGGTGTGAAGCAGGAATCTGCATTGTTCCTACTGCTGTTGAACTTTTATTTTAGTTCTATAATTGAAACCTTCTAATGATCCACTTTTCTATCTTCTGAACATAAACAAAAATCTCTTATTTAGTCCTAAATACAGATTATCTCATAGTACTTTCAATTATCATGATTGGTTTGAGAAGAGTTTATACCTGTTTAATATTTATTGCAAAATGAAACTTCTTATCATAAATTGAAAGTTCTAGTCTTTGTAAACAGATCACGTTCAAATTGACCTGGTGAGTCAATATGATTTAGGGATGAAAGCTGGACTGGACTCTGAAAGTTACTGTACATTCAATTCTGCCTTTAGTCTCAGAAGCTCACTGGATGACTTTGGACCAGTCACACTCCATCAGTTCGATGAAATATTATAGGATTCTGGTGGTAAAAGAAATTGGAAGAAGTGCTATGTATACCAATTAGACCTTCTAAAGGAAAAGTGGAATATACTGTAATTCTCATGAATATTTGTATAAGTACCCTCCAAAAGCTTGTGAACACTTGAAAGTGTTACATGTGGGAATGAGCATCTCACTATGCTTTGGATGCTTCTGGATTGAGATCAAGGATGATGAATTTAATATATTTAATATTAAATATTAGTCACAATAATATCTGGGGGTATCCCAATGACGATAGAAATGAGGAGGCTGTGATACAGTGAGAGGATTTGAATAACCTGGCTCTTTTACATGACAACAAAATACCAGCTTCATTCAATAGTGGAAGGTGGTGCAGGGGATATAACCCAGATTTGATATTTCTGAGCGATCATGTAATCCAACAATGTGTTAAAGTGGTTTGCCCACCTAGTCTAAATTCCCAGCACTGGCCAATTATGTGTCAGGTTACCACTGTAGTTTCCCCTTTAGACATAGGTATAACTTTAAAAAAGCTGATTGACCTACATTTCAGAGATTAGTGGACAGTGCTGTTAATTTATAGCTAAACCAAGCTATTACGACAGGTTTGGGGTGGTCGTAAAAATGTTCCCAGCTACCAATCCCATAGGGCTGTAAAACCAACTATATCCAAGGCCTTAAGCAGAAACAAAGTATCTCACAGAAGTATCTCACTCTTTTTGAGGCTGATCCTATGGTAGAGGACACAGTGAATGCAGGCCAGCAGTTAATTACTTCTATAGCTGAAGCTAAGAGAGAAAGCTGGATTAAAACAATAGAGGAACTGGATACATGCATAAGTAGCCACAAAGTGTGGAGATTGTTGAGTCACTTGAATAATGACCCAAATCACTCTAGAAATTATGCCAATGTGACTGCAGACCAAATAGCCAATCAGCTTCTTAAGAACGGCAACCCAGATCAAAGGCCACCAAAACATAAGATTAAGATCAACAGAAATGAGGATGAAACAACTACAGTAACTTATTGTCCCCCTTTACTATGGAAGAACTGAGAGAGGCTGTAAGAAAGAGTAGGCCATGGAAAGCTGCTGGTTTGAATGACATCCTTATTGAACAGATAAGCAATTGAGGCGAAAAGCAAGATAGTGGCTATTAGAAATGTTTAATGAATGCTTGGAACAATGTAAGATTCCTGCTATCTAGCGAAAGGCTAAGGTTGCAGCAGTTTTAAAACCAGGTAAAGAAGCCAATAACCTAAGAAGTACTGACCAATTTTTCTCATGTGCCATACCTACAAAATCTTTGAAAGAATGGTTAACATTATCTCACTTTAGCTCTAGAACCCCTTCTCATACTGCAACAGGCTGAATTTCACTCCCCCAAAAATTGCACCACACAGATAACCCAGTATATCAAATGTAATATAACAGAAACTATATTTGTGATATGATGATATGATTAAAGATTTCAAACTTACAAATATCATTAGGAATCTGCTTCAGAACCACATATTTTTGTGGAGTTCCAGGGAAGGCAAAATAGATGGAAGAATCAAAGGGACGCTTACCACAGAGTGGTGTATTGGCTCCAATTCTTTTTAATATTTATATCAGGGGTCTTCAAACTCGGCCCTTATATGACTCATGGACTTCAACTCACAGAATTCCTCAGCCAGGCATGCTGGCTGAGGAATTCTGGGAGTTGAAGTCCATGAGTCATAAAAGGGCCGAGTCTGAAGACCCCTGATTTACACTAATGTTTGGATACTAACAACTATACGTATACTGATGACTGAGCAATAGCTATAATGGAGAAATATTTCAGGAGGTTGAACAGCATTTAACTGCAGCCCTGGCAGAGTTGGATCGATACTATTGTGATAACCAGTTAAGGCCAAATCCAGTAAAAACTCAGACATGTGCCTTCCATCTTAGCAATAAGCAGGCTGCTAGGAAGCTGCATATTATATGGAAAAGGACTGTCAGAACCCATATCTGTTAGATCTCATACTTCCCTTGCTTCTCTCTCTGACCCAAATTCCATTCTCTCCCTGGGTTCTGCCATGCTCCTAGAGGTGAGGGGGGGAATGATTGAGGGTTTATTGCCTTAGCTTCCTCTGTCGCTACAAAATAACACTTTGCTCTCCTGCATTATTACTTGGCTTCCTCTATCGCTACAATGTAACACTTTGCTTTCCTGCACTATTTCTCTGTGATTTCCTCTCCTTAAATTGTCAACTATAAAAGCGGGGGGGGGAGAGAAAGGAATGCAACCTCCGGTAACCAGCTTATCTCTCCGTTCTCAAGAGAAGGTGCGAAGAATTGCCTAGCCATCGCAGCTACAGCCAGAGCCAGCCTGATGTTATCTCCCCTTTCCCACGATGGACAACACCTGGAGATTGGCCAGTTTGAACCGTCTGGATGAACTGTGGGGTGGGGTTTGCTTGGGGACATTTCAAATTATTGATCTGAGAGGGAAAACCTCAGATCCTGTCTAGTATGCCTACTATCAGCTTCTCCTAATAAATGTTCCTTCTGGAAGAGCTTGCTTCCATGAGTTCTGCTTTCTTGGGATGAGGTATTGAAATGGGTCCTGACATTAGATAGGATCTGCAATAGTAGTCAACCAAAAGGACGAAACTTGCCGGGGGACTTTGCAAAGTCTACCATGTTGGACACTGGTGCAGAGAAAGGGGAAGGCACCGTGAAAGGGGGGGCCCTCCGGTCGGAACCCTGCCAGCTGTCCACCTCTGAAACATCCTACACCTTGGAAAAAGAGGTGGTGGAGACGCATAGCCATAAGCCTCACTGATCCATGGGTGTAGGCAAGAAGGACGAGTGGGAGAAAAAGTTGAGAAAGGTGATGCTGAGGTGAGGCAGCCACCAACCAGGATGGAAGCAAGAGATGGAGAGGTCCCTGTGTCTCAGCGAAGATGAGGACAATTGCGGGGAGCAGTCAAACTGGATCCTGGAGAAGGCGATTGACCTGATGAAATCCACCCTCCCTCAAAGATAAAAAGCCCGAACCCTGCAGTCGCACTGTTACCTTGGGCGGCAGTGAAAGAGACACCGAGGGGGAGTCTGAAGCCGAGGCCCCAGGAATGTCAGGTGAAGCAGCCGAGACCACAGCCGTTGTGGCGGCAGCCCCCACTCCCCTCCGCACAGTAGCTGCTGATCGAGATGGACGACACCACAGATGGCAACAGGCGATCCATCCAGAAGTTCCCACTGCTGGACGTGAAGTTCTGAGGAGAGTCACAGCGCCTGGGGTTCTTCTTAACCCAAATCCTCAACTACATGGAAGAATATGGCCAAGACATTCCCACCAACAAAGCTTGGATCCGCATTGTACAGGCGGCCCTGGATGGCGTGGCAGCTGACTAGGTGGTAGACCTGCATGACTTCGACGCCCCAGAGCTCCAGAATTTCAACCAATTCATGTTCTCCCTTATACGACGATTTGAGGACCCGTTGGCAGACCGGAAGGCCCGCGAGATTAAAACGGTGAAGCAGGGCAGACGGCCAGTGGCCAAGTACACCCAGGAATTCTGAGCCATTGCTAGAAAGCTGAATTGGCCAGAAGACATCCTGCTTAGCCACTTCAAGGATGGGCTGAATTACGACCTCTATGCTGCCTGCCTTCCCCAGGGAGACCCACACCGATTGCACAATTGGTACATCCTGGCAGAGGAAGCCAAGATTGACCTGCTAAAGAGACATCGCAGAGGGAAGCCGTGGAACCAACCACCCCCAAGCTGTCACATGAGCCAGCAAGGTCTCAACCCACAGCCAAGAAGACCACCGGCTGTTTCAAGTGCGGGAAAGAGGGACATCGCGCTGCAGAATGCCGCTTGAGGAAACCCCAGGAGAAGGCCGACTGGACATCAGCCAGGAAGTCGGGAAGGTCACCTGCCAAGCTGCGAGAATCAGCCATGAGGGGCACCGAGGCCATCGATTTCCCCCCTCCACCCAATGGGGGAAGGGAACCCCGGTCTATGCCGCGGGAGCATCCAACTCGTCAGACGACAACTCCGAGGATGAACCCCTGGTAAGTGGACCCATCACGCCCCTCATCCGGACAGTGTCTATCCTAGCCCCCTCCATGCCCAAAGCTGCAAAGGTTAAAGCCCTACTAGACTGGCTGCACGCGTTGTCTTATTAGCCCAACGCTAGTGGGGACCCTGTGCATTACGGTGAGGAGGCTGAAGAAACCAATATTCTTCAGTCAGTTGATGGGTCCATAGCAGGGGGAATGCCAGCCACTCTAGCCACACTACCGATCCATCTTAACCTGGGGGACCACAAGGAGACTATAACGTTCGTGGTGACCCCAGGCAAGGAGTGCCCAATAATACTGGGGTTGGCATGGCTGAAGAAATGGAACTCCCAAGTGGACTGGAAGATGGCGGAACTCAGGTTCCCAAAAGAGGATCAAATGGGATCGCTACCCCAGGGAGTTTCTGAGAGTCCCCCTCCAGAAAAAGCAGCAATGGGGGAGGAAAAAGCATTGCCCGAAATACCCGAGCAGCGAGGAGCGGGCAGACGAGCTATCCCCCCACAGACCCACAGACTGTGTGATAGAAATCAAGCCAGGAGCGAAGCTCCCAAAGCCTAGATTGTACTCCATGAGCCCCGAGGAGCTACGAGAAATGAAAAAAATTGTAGATAAGAATCTGAAGAGGGGGTTCATTGAGCCAGCTTCCTCAAAATAGGTAGCGGCCCCAGTCCTGTTCAAGGAAAAGAAAGATGGTACATTGTGCATGTGCGTGGATTATTGCGCCTTTAACTCCATAAGCGAAAGCAACCTGTACCCTCCCCCCCATGAAAGACATGCTGTCCCACCTATTGAAGGGTAAAATCTTCACAAAACTGGACTTAAGGGAAGCCTACTATCGCGTTAGAATTGAGGACGAGTGGAAGACCGTGTTCAACTGCCTTATGGGATGCTACCAATTTAAGGTCTTGCCGTTTGGGTTGCAGGGAGCCCCCACAGTCTTCATACAGCTGATTAATGAGGTACCGAGGGAGCACCTATACAAAGGGGTCCTCATCTACTTGGACGACATACTTCTATTTACGGAGACTAAAGAGGAGCACATAAAATTAGTCAGAGCAGTTTTGAAAAAAACTGAGGGCAGCCAACCTCTATGCAAAACTATCAAAGTGCAAGTTTCACATACAGAGAATTGACTATCTGGCTACCGCATATCAACTGAAGGCATAGAAATGAACCCCGAAAAGGTCCAGGCAATGCTAGAGTAGATGCCACCCCGCACGAGAAAGCAACTACAAAGCTTCCTGGGGTTCACTAACTTCTACCATAAGTTCATCCCTTCTTTCACCCAGATAGCCCTACCTATCACAAACTTATTAAAGACAAAAGGAGACACGGTAAAACCTAGTCAGCCACTAACCTGGACGATGGAATGTCAAGCCACATTTGAAAGACTAAAAAGACTTTTTTCAGCTGAACCGGTCCTAAAACACCCTGACCCAGATAAGCTGTTTGTAATTCAAGCCGATGCAAATGACATAGCAGTAGGAGCAGTATTGCTACAGGAAAACGACAAAGGACAATTGCAACCCTATGCCTACACGTGCAGAAAACTCTCTGAGATGGAGCAACATTGGGCAATGTGGGAAAAAGAGGTGTACGCTGTGAGGTGGGCACTTCTCACCTGGCGGCACTTCCTAGAAGGGAATAAAATCCTGTTCCAGGTCTGGACAGACTATAAGAACTTGGAAGCCCTAAAAATGCCTAGAAAACTCACCCCCAAACAAGCCCAGTGGTCACAGCACTTCCACCGGTTTACATTCAAGATCAAACACCTACCAGGGGGGAGGAATTTCCTGGCAGACGTCCTATCCCACATACCCCAGTACAATAGCTCCCGGCCAACCATCTCCAAACCACTCATGCCGGGAGCGCAGCTGGCAGCACAAGTAACCACAAGAGCTCAAGCGAAGCTAAAATAGCTGATAGCCAGCTAAGCAGGGATTGAATTCAGGAAGGCTCTAGAAACTGACAAATAGTTCCAGAGCCACAAAAACTTATGCACTATCACTGACGGCTTGCAATGGGTGGGGGAGAAGCTGTACGTCCCAAAAACCCAGGGGATTATATTTATGAAACTCTGCCATGACACAAAACCAGCAAGTCACTTTGGATGCGTGAAAACGCTGCATCTAGTTAAAAAAACAGTTCTGGTGGCCATCTATGAAAAAGGACATTGAGAGCTATGTAGCCAGCTGCCCATCTTGCGCAGCTGCTAAGGGACTGCTACAGCCAGTGGCAAGCCCCCTGGAAGGAAATCTCCATGGACTTCATGGTAGAACTATCTGAAAGTAGCGGAAACATTGCGATCTGGGTGGTCACGGACTTATTCTCAAAACAAGTACACTTCATCCCTTGTCCAAAAATCCAACCACTAAAGCCTTAGTAAAGCTGTTTGTCCAGCACATATATAGACTACATGGGGCACCCGAACATGTAATAACGGACAGGGGGGTGCAATTCACATCCCTTCTGGGGACCACCCAGGGGCTGTCATCTAGACATCATCCTCAGATGAATGGGAGGGACAGAACGTTCAAACTCAATACTTGAACAATATCTAAGATGCTTTATTAATTTCCAACAGATGAACTGGACCGACCTGCTCCCTTTCGCAACCATCCAAGAAACTAGGACCGAAATATGTGAGACCATTCCCCATCCAAAAGAATCATAAACCCAGTAATAGTAGAGTTAGAATTACCAAAAACCCTCAGGCAGATTCACCCTATCTTCCACTGCAGCCTACTAAAACGAGAGCAGCAATCACCGTTACGACCAGCCATCGCCCCACTGCCCCCTCCCATTATGGTTGAGGGGGAGCAGCATTTTGAAACAAAAGAAATCCTTGACTCCCGGAAATACCATGGGGTGACCCAATACTCAGTAGCGTGGAAGCACCTTCCTTCCTCCCAAAATGAATGGCTGCACAAACGTCACGTTAGAGCCCCCAAACCATTAAGGAAGTTTCACATGGGCTACCCGAACAAACCAGACTAACCTCTCACTATTTGTTTTGTCTCTCAACAGATTGATCTCTCATATTTTTAAGGGAGACAGGATGTCAGAACTCATATCTGTTTGATCTCATACTTCCCTTGCTTCTCTCTCTGACCCAAATTCCATTCTCTTCTCTCCCTGGATTCTGCCATACTTCTAGAGGGGAGGGGAGGAATGATCGTGGGTTTATTGCCTTAGCTTCCTCTATTGCTTTCCTGCATTATTTCTCTGTGATTTCCTCTCCTTAAACTGTCAACTAGAACATGGCTTTTCAACCAGTGGTACGGGTATCACCTGTGGTACATTGGCACCTGGCAGGTACGCGACCATTCTAGGAAAGTGGTAGCAGGGGAGAGGAATGAGCTGAACTGGTGGCAGCATCGCACAAGCCTGAGCGAGAGATGGCTGGAGCTATAGGGCTGTCAGTGCTCAGCGGAAGCACCAGGATCAGTGCCGCTTTCCAGCTGATTGGCACTTCGGGGCTGTCAGGGCTCAGTGGAAGCACCAGGATCAGTGCCAGGCTCCACCTGGAGCTCAGCGCTGATCCTGCACTTCTGCTGAGCCCAGAAAAAGCGCCGATCAGCTGGAATGTTACAGCATCTCCAGGGTCTTGTGATTTACATTCAGATGCTTGGCAACTGATTCATATTTATGATGGTCACAGTGTCCCAGGGTCATGTGAAGTGACCAAAACATGCTGTAACCACCCAAAACCAAACACCCCCCACCCCACCTCTGCTGCCAACCCCCAACAGAAATGCTCACAACAATGAAAACCTCGGACAGGAGGAAGAGCATTGCCGGGTGGGCAGGCAGGTGTCTTGCTCGGCTGTGGCTTGGGGGGCACTTTTTCAGTGCCATTGTAACTTCAAACAGTCATTAAGCATTGTAAGTTGAGGACTATCTTTATCATTTTTTTCCTTTTTTTTTTGGTTATCAAATTTTTGACACTTTGCTGGGCGACTGGTGGTACTTGGATATTGCCATATTCTAAAAGTGGTACAATGGGTGAAAAGGTTGAAAAGTCCTGAACTAGAAAAGGGGGAGGAAGAAAGGAATGCAACCTCTGGTAACCAGCTTATCTATCCACACTCAAGGGAAGGTACAAAGAATCGCCTAGCCATTGCAGGTACAGCCAGAGCCAGCCTGATGTTATCTCCCCTTTCCCACAATTGACTTAACACCTGGAGATTGGCCAGTTTGAACCGTCTGGATGAACTATGGGGTGGTGTTTGCTTGGAGACACTTCAAATTATTGTTCTGAAGGGGAAAACCTCAGATCCTGTCTAGTATGCCTCCTAATAAAAATTCCCTCTGGAAGAGCTTGCTTTCATGAGTTCTGCTTTCTTGGGATGAGGTATTAAAGTGGGTCCTGACAAGGACGTTATTGGAATATTGCTACAGCTATAAATATTTAAGGGTCACTTTGGGTAGGGCCCTAAGTTATAAGCAGCATTGCACCAACACTAAACTGAAGGTCAGTGGATTAAAAAATATCCTATATAAATAAATATAAATAACATGAGCTCTACCTGGGGTGCCAAACTAAGGATCCTTATAACAACAGCTTTAGCTTTTTGCTACTCGGCAGCAAATATGCCTGCCCAGTCTGGTATAAATCAGTACATGTCGGGAAAATAGATGTTGCTCTGAATGAAGCTAGCAGAATTATTATTGGATGCCTTAAAACTACCCCTCTAGATAAGATCTACCACCTAGCTGGCAATAATAATAATAAGGTCCGTGCTAGATATTGGAGTTCCTGGATATCTGGTGAAAAATGGGTTACAGGACTCAGGACTGTTGGCTGAGCAACCAGGGCCAGCAGCTGCAGAACTACTGGAAGAAAAGATGTTTACCCGTCGCAGCTACACAGTGATTGAAAACAAAGAAATAATGATCTGTTACTACAGATCAAGTCCAACAAGAAGAGGATATCTAAAACGAATGCACCAGTTCTGGAAAGAACAACATCCAGAATCAGAAATAACAGAACAGAGACTAGCAGATCAACGCCGATTTATAATACGAAATAAAGTATTCACAGAAACAGAATTGGACGAACTGCAAAGGTTTACCCAGGGCAAAGAAATCAAAGCCTTACCAGAAGTAATTCAGAATGTAGAGGCAAACCAGGGGGAATTGGCAGTGAAGGAATCCAGCAGAGATATACAACTGTTCTCATTTGGAAACCAGGCACCTCTTCCTCAGGAAGAACAAAACCCTCTAACTAAAGAAATAAAAGAATTGAAACAAAGAATAACTGAGCATCTAGAACAGCACAAAAACAACAGAATAAGGCTACCTGCATTGAAGCTTGTTCCAAAGAAACAGCTAGCACAAGCATTAAAAGATGCAAATACTGCAATATCAAGTATAAGCACCAATTCACTGCAAGAAACAAACCAACTAATGTACAGCACAGCTGCAGTTATAACAGAATACCTGGGATGCAAAATCAACAAAAAGAAAAACAAACAGTGCACCAGAAAAATGGAAGGTTAGACTAGAAAATAAGATCAGCAAGTTAAGATCACATGCAAGCAAACTAGAACAGATGAAAGAAAAGAAGCTGAAGAACAAGAAGACCAAAGAATACCTAATCAAGAAATACCACTTAGAAACAAGGAAGATCAAGGAAGCACTGGAAATAATAAAGCAACAAATAACAGCTATAGCCAGGAAAATCAGTAGATATGAAGCTCAAATTGCAAACTATAGGCAGAACCTCCAATTTCAATCCAATCAGAAACATTTCTACCAATCCATCAATGGAGAAACTGCAAGGAATCAGTCAGTACCTGACAAGGAAGAAACAATGCAGTTCTGGAAGCAGATATGGGATAACCCAAAGAAATACAACAAGGACACAGCTTGGTTAAAAGAGGTGGATGCAAAATAAAACAGAAGAAATGAAAGAACTAGTAATAACAACAAAAATGGTAGAAAAAAGAGCAAAGAAAATCAAAAATTGGTCAGCACCAGGTGAAGATGAACTGCATGGGTTTTGGTTGAAACATCTAACTGTTATACACCCACTCATTGCCAAACAGTTCAACAATATACTACAAGGAGGAGAAATTGAAAAGTGGCTAACAACTGGGAAAACCTACCTAATAATGAAAAATCCAGCAAAAGGGGCAACACCAGGTAACTACAGGCCAATTACCTGCTTACCAACAACTTTCAAATTACTAACTGGTGTGGTAGCTGATGCAGTACAACAGCATCTAGTTGAAAACAATCTCTTTCCACCTGAGCAGAAAGGAAACCGCCCCAATAGCAGAGGAACAAAAGATCAACTCCTAATAGACAAAATGATCTTGGAAAACTGCAAGAGAAGGAAGACCAACCTGAATGTGGCATGGATTGACTACAAAAAGGCATTTGACTCTCTGCCACATGATTGGATAATAAAGTGCCTAGAAATAACAGGAGTCAGTAGAAACATCAGAAAATTTGTGCAAAGATCGATGGCACAATGGAAGACACAGTTGCAGATCAATGGTGAGAGCTGGGAGAGGTTAATATCAAGAGAGGAATATTTCAAGGAGATTCATTATCACCATTACTATTTGTTATTGCACTGTTTCCTCTGTCAACAATACTGAATAACTCAGGACATGGCTATCAAACATCAAAAACATCTGCTAGACTATCCCACCTCCTTTACATGGATGATCTGAAGCTGTATGGAAAAACATCATCTGAAATAGAATCGCTGCTCAACACTGTCCGTATATATAGCCAAGATATTGTTATGGAGTTTGGCTTGGACAAATGTGCCACACTTACTATCAAACAAGGAAAAATAGTGAAAACTGAAGGAATCAAGATGCCCCACGAAAATAACATTAAGAGTCTGGATGAGGAAGAGTACTACAAATACTTGGGTATCCTTCAAGCTGACAACATCAAGCACACTGAAGTCAAGAAAAAGATTAGAGGTGAATACATCAAGAGAGTGAAGAAAATCTTAAAGTCCAAACTCAATGGAGGAAATACCATAAGGGCAATCAACACGTGGGCAATCCCAGTCATTAGGTACACAGCTAGAATAGTGGACTGGACTCAAGCAGAACTAAAAGCAATGGATAGGCAGACCAGAAAAATAATGACAATGAATCATGCCCTTCATCCACGCAGTGACATTGATAGACTTTATCTACCAAGGCAAATAGGTGGGCGTGGAATGCTACAAGTACATCAGATGGTTGAAGAAGAAAAAATGGCTTTGGAAGAATATCTGAAGAACAATGATGAAGATGCACTGAAATTAGTATATCAGGAAGGCTTACTAACTACTGGAGAGACCAAACTGGCCTACAAGAAAGACCAAATGAAGAACAGAATAGAGGCATGGGAAGACAAAGCACTACATGGCCAATACATGAAAAAAAATAGCTGGGAAAGCAGATAATAACAAGACCTGGCAATGGCTAAGAGCAGGAAAATTGAAGAAAGAGACCGAGGGACTAATTCTGGCTGCACAAGACCAAGCCTTAAGGACAAATGCATATAAAGTCAAAATTGAGAAGACAGCAACAGACAGTAAGTGCCGCCTATGCAAAGAAGCTGAAGAAACAGTGGACCACTTGGTAAGCTGTTGCAAGAAGATTGCACAAACTGATTACAAGCAGCGGCATGACAAAGTAGCAACAATGGTGCATTGGAAGATCTGCAAAAAATATCATTTGCCTGTAAGCAAAAACTGGTGGGATCATAAAATAGAGAAAGTCATAGAAAATGATAAAATTAAACTGCTCTGGGACTTTAGAATTCAAACAGACAAACATCTGCAACATAACACCCCAGACTTAACAATTGTTGATAAGAAAGACAAAAAAGTGTGGATAGTGGACATGGCAATGCCTGGAGACAGCAGAATAGATGAGAAAGAAGTGGAGAAGATCACAAAATACAAAGACCTACAAATAGAAATAGAAAGACTGTGGCAAAAGCAAGAAAGGGTAGTACCTATAGTAATAGGCGCCTTGGGTGCAATCCCAAAACAACTGGAGCATCACTTGAACACCATTGGCATTGACAAATTCGCTATTAGTCAATTGCAAAAGGCGGCCTTACTAGGAACTGCTTCCATCCTGCGAAGATATCTGTAATACCATCAAACATCCATATCTGCCTATCCCAGGTCCTGGGTAAGGACTCGATAGGTAGACAAAATGCCAAATCCAGTCTGAGCATCTGGCTGACTGTGCGATGATCAGTAATAATAATAATTGCAAAAGGTAGCTTTACTTGGAACAGCTTACTTTATTTGTTTGTTTATTAGATTTATATGGCTGTCCATATAAATCTCCCGAACCCTTGTTATCCCTGCCAAAGACCCAGCTCATCCACCCTCACTATCTCCTCTTCTCTC